GGTCATTGAATCGGTGTCAATGTTTTCCCCGTCTACCAATTGACATTGTATGTTCATCCTTGAAGGTCATTATAAGTGGAATTTCCACATTTACAATCTGCCATTGTTGGTGAATAAGAACAAAGAGAGATCTACTGCATAAAACTCTGGTCAACGGGGTTCCTTCAGCTTTGTCAACATTTATGCATGGGTACCATCAACCAAATGCATATTGTCTGTAAACAAACACGTAGGATTATTGTATCCACCACTAAGTATCTTTTTTTTCCAGGACAGAACTGATACTGATATTACCATGAGGCTTCTAAGAGCAGTAGGTTCTACAAGTACCAATATAGTGCTAGGAATACAAAGTTGCACTAGCACTATAGTACCCGCCTCCCTCACGCCCCCTCTCCCCCGCAGAGATGAAAGGGTTAAAAAAAACTTTTTTCACTTACCTGATTCCAGCTCTGATATCTCTCCGCGCTGGTTTTGGATTCGCCACAAGTGGCGCAATCTCATTAGGACTACCCCACAAGAAAGTATTAAATCAATGCTTTCCTATGGGGTTTTAGCTGACGCTGGATGTCCTTATGCTGAGCGTGGGGACGTGCAGCATCAGTTAGTTGACCAAAAGTCGCCTAACTACCAGGAAGTGCCTCTAGTGCCATTATAGGTGGAGTTAATCCTGCAATGTAATTATTACAGTTTATCAATAAATGCAATAATTACAATTGCAGGGTTAAACAGAATGAGGCACTGCACCCAGACCACTTCAATGAGATGAAGTGGTCCGGGTGCCTATAGTCTCCCTTTAATTGCCACATCATGCAACAAGAGAATCTCTATAAATAAACAGTACTTTTCAATGTCCCATTCCCATCAGTGTATGCAATATTGGCCATGAGTAATGCCTTGAGGTGAGCACGGCAAAAAGATCCTCATTACTGAGAAGGACTCTGCTTATAGAAATATTTATCTTACTTCTTGCTGCACGTGCTACAGTCTGCTTATATTTTCTTTAGCCTGAACAATTTACTTTGCAAATTCTTCTTATGTCTTAAACCAGGGATAGGCAACCTTTGGCACTTCAGATGCTGTGGACTACATCCCCATAATGCTCTTACATCGATAATGCTGGCAAAGCATCATGGGAGGTGTAGTCCAAAAACATCTGGAGTGCCAAAGGTTGCCTATGCCTAAACCATTCCAACAGCCTCACTGCAGCAAATATACCAGCTAAACAAATGCAAGGAATTTGCAAATTAAGAAGGCAAAAACTGATTGGTGTTTTTTTGCTTTCTTAATTCACCTTTTTTTTTATTATTTTGTTCAGATATAATTTTGGATGCATTTTTTGGCACTGGCATTTTTTTGCTAATTGCACTTCTTGCTAACTAAATTATTTGTGTTGATATTGTATACTGAGGGCAAAGTTTAGCTCGATCTAGTTAAACTGTGTGGCCGTTATCAGCTCTGTGATAGGTGCCCTCTACATTAAAGGACCACTCTAGGCACCCAGACCACTTCAGCTTAATGAAGTGATCTGGGTGCCAGGTCCTTCTAGGGTTAACCCATTTTTTTATAAACATAGCAGTTTCAGAGAAGCCTCCCCCCAAAGCCTCTAGTGGCTGTCTCATTGACAGCCACTAGAGGCGCTTGCGTGCTTCTCACTGTGATTTTCACAGTGAACGCATGGAAAGTAATGCTTTATGCGCTGCCTTGAATGGCGCGGCTCTGCTCTTGGTTTTTCAGCAGAGGAGGACGGAGGGAGAGGAGGAGGAGAGCTCCCCGCCCAGCGCTGGAAAAGGTAAGTTTTTACCCCTTTCCCCCTTCCAGAGCCGGGCGGGAGGGGGACCCTGAGGGTGGGGGCACCCTCAGGGCACTATAGTGCCAGGAAAACGAGTATGTTTTCCTGGCACTATAGCGGTCCTTTAAGTACAGTTATCTTTGTGTGATAGAAATAGTTTATCTATCTTCTCTTTACTTTGGCACTATATCATTTTTTCATAATGTACTAGTATAGTATGTTTTATAGGTCCACCTATACTTTCCCCTTTCTTTCTAAATGTATTCCCTCTGCTGTCTACTGCTACATACAGCTCTGTGACTCTACCTATGATTACATTAGCCCTCTCAGCATTTCAAAGTTCAAATGCAAAATATGACCTTATTATATGCAAGCTTTTTAACCTCATTATTAAAGGTTATGTTTTAAATCCCTGTACTTGCTGGGAATAATTTATAGATTTTATTAAGACACGGAGGCTCCTATTATGCTGCACTCTTTCTTTATTTACCTCAGCAGCAAAGAAAAATAACATTAAATCAGTATAAAAGAAACCAGTAAATAACATGAGGTATATCTTCCTAGCAACAGGAACAGCCAATCAGTATCCTCTTTGTAGCATAATAGGCAATGTCCAGTATACTACTTCCTCTTTCTTTGCTGCTCCCTCAGTTAAGTGACACTGGGTCCCATGGTTCTTAACTGTGGGATCTTTTACTTTACTTTATTCATATCATTACTGTGGTTAATATAGTGATTACATTTTAATTATAATATTTTCATGTTTATAAATATATTTAGTTACTTCATTTTAACGTAATTTGATTTATTTACTTCATTTGCGTCAGTTATATGCTTTATTGTATATCCTTTGATAATGTATTTCCCCTCTGACCTCCCTGGCCCCAAGAATACCATCAATTGGGGCTCAGGGACGTCTTTGAGGATCTTTATCCCCTGAATAGTGCCATTGTGCTGTTTTTTCCCTTCATTTATCTGTGTGGCCGCTGCTCTGCCCCCAACTGCCGGAAATCCAAGTTGGGGTTTAGTTATAGTGGCAGCCGGGCAGCTCCTTTGTCTTTATATTACAATTGCTATTTTTTTTTCACTATTGTGAGCACTTTCATTTATTTATCCTGTTTAGTTATTTATTTATTTTTTACTTGAGGGTTACTCAACCCTTTACTTTTGGTATTATTTTGCTTTATTCATCCCCTTAGGTTTGTTTGTATAGTTATGATGCAGTCTGGCAGGATCTTTCTGTGCCTTCTGGGTCTACAGCCAACATGCAGATTAATGTAGAAGCCTCTCCAGGTATCTCTGGAGATGAGGCTGAATTTCTGCTTTACTGATCCTGCTGACATGCAGACTTTAATTGACACTTCCATGGCAAAAGCAATGACAAGGCCCTGGTGTCAGGCCACAAGGCCTCATATAAGGCTAAACAATCCGAGTTCAGTGATATTGAGGAGAAGTTCCCTGAGTTCTATAGGGAGGTGTTCCTGTACTCACACCTGCGCTGCTTCAGCCTGGCCGCAAGGCCTCATATAAGGCTAAACACTCCTCCAAAACAATAGAGATGGACAGTACCAAACCTGTCACGGATGGCGCAATTAATTTACCACCGCGCAAAAGAGCTACTAGTCGGGCAAAATCGACTAGACTTTGAAAAAGGGCAAAAGCCCAATTGAACTCTAAATCTGAGCTCAGGGATATTGAGGAGGAGTTTCCCTGAGTACTATATGGAGGTGTATCTGTACTCACACCTGCTCTGCTCTGCTTCAGCCTGGCCGCAAGGCCTCATATAAGGCTAAACACTCCTCCAAAACAATAGAGATGGACAGTTCCATACCTGTCACGGATGGCGCGATTAATTTACCACCGCGCAAAAGAGCTACTAGTCGGGCAAAATCGACTAGACTGGAAAAGGGCAAAAGCCCAACTGAACTCTGAATCTGAGCTCAGTGATATTGAGGAGGAGTTCCCTGAGTCCTATATGAAGGATTCAGAGGATATTTCTGATCCTGATTATGAAATTACTGATGAAGAGGATGCTAATCCCGTTTGGGATACATGTCCTGTTAAACCTACCAAGATTTAGGTAGATTATGCGGACTCAGGGACACCAATAGGATCTTGGACACTCAATGTGAAACCCTATTCGAACCTGACGACCTATGTCACCCAGTGGTCTCCTCAGACCATGTAGCCAAGTATATTGCATCCAGAGTACGCAAGCCTTTTGAGAAGGCAAAGTGAAATAAATTGCGGGCTGAATGGCCACGCCGAACAGTCCCTGATGACTCATGTTGAACGCTATCAGTCAATCCTAAAATCATTCAATTCCTGAGTAAGACAGGATGGAAGCCATCTAAAGGCTTAGATTTTCATTGCAAAACTGTCAGGATAAAATCCTGGGCATCTTAGGCTCAGCAGCCAAGATCTTTGAAGCAGTGGAGGATGAGCTAGAATTAGATTGCGCCATCTTAAGAGGTTAGATCCAGAGAGTGATTTAAGTTGGCAACGCCAACAATGCGGTTGTCACAGAACGCCACAAATCGATCTTGCTCAAGATTGAGCCCAAACGTTTAACTATGGCTCTGAACGAGACAGATAACACAGGCAAAAGGTTTTCTCTTTGGGGACAACTTTGTAAAAGAATTGGGCTCCTTTGTCCTGCTAAACAAACAGAAGTTCTTTTAGACAGAACCAAGGCTCTTATACTTGCTGAGCCGATTTCTTTGAACAATGCACTATACCAACCTCCTTCTCACAAAGTGGCCGACCCTGGATTGTTAGTGGCCTAAGAGGTGCTCCTAAGACGTCTTCACAATATCCATTCTTTCTTACTGATAGTGGGGGGCAGGCTCACACATTTTTCCCATGTATGATCCCTCATTTCATCAGATGCTTATGTTCTTCACACTGTGAAAGAGTATTGCATAGACTTCCTCTCTCTACTTGTTCAATGTTCCCCATTAAGGGAAATAGTTTTTTTCCCAATAAGACACAGACCTTGTCTCTGTGGACAATCAATTGTAGAGATTCTGGCGCATACCCTGGGTTACGTGAGCAACCTTTTCTTGTTTCCCAAAAAAGGCAAAGGTATCCGTCCAGTGATAAATTTGAGACTGCTCAATAGTTATGAGCATATCAGCACTTCCAAGATGGAAGGAGAGCATTGTTTAAGGGATTTTCTCCAACCAGCAGATTGGATGGCCAAATTGGATCTGCAGGATGCATATCTCACAGTGCCTATCCCAGTACAACATCAAGATCGAGAACTTCCTGCAATTTAAATGGTAGGGCAGTAAATAGAGGTTCAGGTGCCTCCCATTCGGACTGTCTTCGGCTCCATGGTGCTTCACCAAGCTCACATCTTATAATATATTTAGATGGCATTTTCATTCTGGCTCAGTCTATTCAATTAATCCGGACATACCTTGCAAGGACTTTGTCTCTGTTAGAGAACCTAGGCTTCCTGACCAATTGGGAGAAATCCATTATCGTTCCCACGCAACAAATAAAATTTCTGGGTTATATTGGATTATTGTAGATTCTACCCTTCAAACTCTACACCCTCCGGTGGCAAAATTAGCCAATATAAAGAAGGAGATAGGCGAACACTAGCAACCTCTCAACTCTCTCTCAAACAACTGTTGAGAATGTTAGGCCTTCTAGCGGCATCTATACAGGCCATTTCTACAGGTCTTCTTGGCTATCGAGCCTTACAACGATTACAAACTTCATCTCAAGGGCAGCGCATCATACACAGTTATGGTAACTCTGGACTCAGAAGAGGAGGATGAACTCCAATGGTGGCTTCTTCACATGCAAGCTTGGAATAAGCACACCATATTTTGTACAGCTCCAGATTTGATAATCAAATCCGACGCAAATTTGCACGGTTGGGGTGCTCAATGCGGAACTATTTCCACCAAGGGCAGATAATCAAACCTGGAATCAACACTCCACATCAATTGTTTGGAACATCTGGCCTGTTCTTTTGTAGTCCATAGTTTCTCCCCAAATCAAGCCCAATGCGCTATCCTTCTGAAGATGGACAACGTGTCAGCAGTCCGCTACATCAATCACTTGGAGGCACAAAATACAAAATTCTGACCTACATGCCTCGTGATTGCTGGCAATTTTGCCTGAGACACGGCATTTCAGTCACAGCAGAATATATTCAAGGTCTCTCCAACACTACGACGGACTGGTATTCACGCCAACTCAGAGATTCCAGCGACTGGCACTTGGATTCCATGGTCTTCCAAGACATCTGGAACCTATGGGGTCTATTGGAAATAGATCTTTTCACTTCTCGTTTGAATGCTAAACTTCCCCGTTTTTTCAGTTGGAGACCAGATCCAAGAGCACTGGCTATGAATGTTTTCTCCAAGGAATTATGATTTTTTGCCTTTCCATCTACATCGCCAGTCCAGCACCTGTTGATCGTGGCTCCTCTATCGCCGTCCCAACCATAGTTCTCTTCTCTTCAGGAGATGGTTATCGACCTTCCATCTCTCGAGTGCCTTCTTCAGGATCCAGATGGTGTACCTCATCCTCTTGTTCTCCAAGGTCTCTTGCATCTCATAGTGTAGTCTATTTCAGGGAACCTTGGTCGGTCAAGGGAGTTTCGCAATCAACTCCCCAACTTATCAAGGGTGCACCCAACACGAGACAGGCTTATAAATCTGCTTGGAGCAGATGGTGGTGCATGAAATTAAATTTAAATCCCATATCGGCTCCTTTTATGTCTGTCCTCCATTTTTTTCTGATTTCTATGATGAAGGTAAAGCCTATCGCACTGTGGACCTTCAGATCGTCCATTTCTGCTGGCCATCAAAGTTTTGATTGGACGCCTGTCTGTTGACATCCTGTCATATATTGACTTCTCTGAGGAATATGGTTTGCTCATCCACCCTTACCACGATACTCTGCCTTGTGGGACGTCTCTATTGTCTTGAATCTTTTTCTTGCAAGAGGTTTTTCTGACGTACGAGCTCGTGAGGTGGTTGCTCGTTTCCTTTACTCCAGAAGGTGTCCACTTTGACATTTCATGGAGGACAAAAACCTCCTCTAAAATCTATCTTACCCAGTTTTCCCTGATAGATCTCTCCTTTGCCCTGTTGCATACTAATGGGTGTGTGAACATCGTTCTACTACGTTACAGAATCCTTTGAAACAGGAACTCTTCATCTCCTTCCAAAAGTCGCGTCTTCCGGTGTCTACTCTAGCCTGGTGGGTCAAATACATTATGTCTCTAGCAGGTATTGATACCTATGTGTCTGTGCCTCATTCGGTTCATAGGGCAATGGCTTCTAAGGCTTCCTCGATTGGTTGTCGCTTGGAGGATATTATGAGAGCGGCTGGTCTTCGGAGTCTACATTCCATGATTTCTAGTTTAGACCTATTCAACACTTCACAGGAGACATAATTTCACAGCTTTGAACTAGCATAATAGGAGCCTCCGTGTCTTAATAAAATTTACAGATTTTACTATTAACATGACGTAAAGTCATGATTTTATTAATGACACGGAGGCGAGTATTATCCCTCCCTCCCATCCCTGGAGGTTTGGTCTTCTCTGGGTAAGTTGACTTCACAGTAAGTCTTTTTTGATTACTGGGTTTTATCCTTGTTAATGACTGTCAAGAGCTTAAGGTTTGACTAAACTGAATTTCATGTTATGTAAATATATCTGATATTTCATGTAATGCGAATTTATGCATAAATCCAGTTTTATACTTGGATATTACCATATTCTTCTTTCTCTTCCAGCTTGACTCCGAGATCCAGTTTAAGGCTTGCATACCTTCTTATTGGAGCCCACTTTTTATTTGGATTTGTTGTCCTTGTTCGGGATCGCAAGAAAGAGGAAGTAGTATACTGGACACTGCCTGTTATGCTATAAAGAGGATGCTGATTGGCTGTTCCTGTTGCTAGGAAGATATACCTTATGTTATTTTACTGGTTTCTTTTATACTGATTTAATGTTATTTTTCTTTGCTGCTGAGGTAAATAAAGAAAGAGTGCAGCATAATACTCGCCTCCGTGTCATTAATAAAATCATGACTTTACGTCATGTTAATAGTAAAATCTGTAAATTTATAGACGTCCAGTCCGAATGTAAATCCTATTTACAATCTGTGGCACTATTTTAAATTTGTAGTCCACATCAATCTGAGCCACCTGGCAATCTGCCAAGAAGAATGGGCATACAAACACCCTCCCAGACAGTGTGTTATTGCAACAAAATATAAAGAATAAAAGGGAATTGGGAGCAGACCTGGAACATGCATTGCTGCCGTATAGACCACAATTTAAACTAAATACAGATTAATGAACAGCGCGCACATAAAAACACAGCTTTACATTTTATAAGGCTACTTAAAATCCCCTATCTCAGCAAACAAATGTGGGGATTCAGTTCCACAATATGGCCATATTGTGTTAAGCCCACCAGTATGTCACAGTAAAATTTAAAATTGTATTTTTATGTGCGTGCTGTTTATTACAACAAAAGGTGGCATGGCTAAATAATAATATGAGAGTTTGAGATTTATTCAAACAGCATATTTTAGCTTTTCTATTTAATATTTACTCAGAAATATTGAATTATAGCTTTAAAATGATGAGTTTGTAATCTAGAAAATTTAAAAGATCCCTTTTAGGTGATCTAAATATTTTTTGCAAGGGAAAAGTTGAGACTTTGAGGGCACTGGTATTTAGAATAATGGGGGAATTGACACCCTTCTAGAAAGATGGGCTCAATCTAAAAATATGGGCTCCTGTGGGTATGTAACCAAGTTAATTTATAAAAGTGGGAATTTATTGGAATCTGCACTTTTTGCAGCCTTAAAAAAAGAGGACAAAATTCACACATGAAACAATTCAGCGAGCTTTAATGCTTTAGATGTTTAGAGCAGTCATTTAAATATACTCATTTAATGTACAAACTGACAGCCAACATTAGAAACATAGAATGTGACAGCAGATAAGAACCATTCGGCCCATCTAGTCTGCCCAATTTTCTAAATACTTTTATTAGTCCCTGGCCTTATCTGATAGTTATGATAGCCTTATGCCTAGCGCACGCATGCTTAAACTCCTTTACTGTGTTAACCTCTTCCACTTCAGCTGGAAGGCTATTCCATGCATCCACTACCCTCTCAGTAAAGTAATACTTCCTGATATTATTTTTAAACCTCTGCCCCTCTAATTTAAGACTATGTCCTCTTGTTGTGGTAGTTTTTATTCTTTTAAATATAGTCTCCTCCTTTACTGTGTTGATTCCCTTTATGTATTTAAATGTTTCTATCATATCCACCTTGTCTCATCTTTCCTCCAAGCTATACATGTTAAGTTCCTTTAATCTTTCCTGGTAAGTTTTATCCTGCAATCCATGAACCAGTTTAGTAGCCCGTCTCTGAACTCTCTCTAAAGTATCAATATCCTTCTGGAGATACGGTCTCCAGTACTGCGTACAATACTCCAAGTTAGGCCTTATCTGTGTTCTGTACAATGGCATGAGCACTTCCCTCTTTTTACTGCTAATACCTCTCCCTATACAACCAAGCATTCTGCTAGCATTTCCTGCTTCTCTACTACATTGTAAGTAAGGGGTAGGCAACCTACGGCACTAGTGCCATGTACGGCACTCGAGGTGTCTTTGCACGGCACTCACGGCTGCTAGAGCCAAACGCACTCTGGCCTATCAGGAGTCCCAGTAAAACTTCAGATATCTGCTAATACGAAGAGGTGGTGAAGGACAAACCTCAATTTATGCATTGCAGCACATATCTCAGATCACTTCCTCCCAGCACTTGTGAATGGGAATCCACACTGTAGTAGAGCAGCACTCGACAGCTATCGCAGCTCCTGTCCTTGACCTGTGCCTGGCCAGCCTGGTCCCCACTGGAACCCAGGGAACCCACCCACATTGCTAGATATACACAGAAATGTCGAATAACCCTCCACTCATACAAATAATATGAAGAGCCCACACACACACACACACAACACACAATCCCCACAACACCACTAACAATATACATACATGCACACAACCCCACATACAGCCTCTCACATGCAATACCCCAAACAGCCCCCACACACTACAAAACACATAATGTGACATATCCATCCACACACAATTCCACAAGCAGCCCTCATACACAGCCCACATTCATATGTATCATACACGATACCATAAACTACTAATGAACATATACAATATAATAGCTCATATACGCACAAATAAAACGATACAAAGCAATTACAGTAAAAATAACACAAGCAGAATATGGCAGCATACACACCTCAATTTGAAAAAAAATAGGATCGGCACGCTACGGGACATCACAAGCCTATATCGGCACAGTGCTGCTAAAAGGTTGCCTACCCCTGTTGTAAGTCATCAGAAATAATCACCCCTAAATCCCTTTCCTCAGATGTTGAGGTTAGGACTCTATCAAATATTTTGTACTCTTCCCTTGGGTTTTTACGTCCAAGATGCATTATCTTGCACTTATCCACATTAAATGTCAGTTGCCACAACTCTGACCATTTTTCTAGTTTACCTAAATCATTTGTCATTTGGCTTATCCCTCCTGGAACATCAACCCTGTTACATATCATAAAAGACATACCTTGCCATCAAGACCTTCTGCAATATCACTGATAAAAATATTAAAGAGAATGTGTTCAAGTACAAATTGATTGACTCCATTGACTACAACCCTCTGTTGCCTGTCACTCAACGACTGCCTTACCCATTCAACAATATTGGAATCCAAACTTAAAGATTGCAGTTTATTTTGTAATGGCACAAAATGAGCTAAAACCATGGGCGTTGGAACCCAAAAAAATCTGGGGGGGATAGCATTTTTACTCGCCGAGTATATTCTTATTCCGTAAACTATGAGTTGTTTATCCCATTTCACAGCGCTACGGAATTTGCAGTTGCTATATAAATGATTAAATAATAACTCTAAAGGGTCACTACAGGGAAGGGATTTTACTTACCTGGATACAGCGCCGGGATCCTCCTGATGCTGCGCCCCCTATTTCGTCAAAATAACGAAATAGGAGGGTGCGAGCAGGGAGCAATAAAACACTTCTATTCAGAAGCATCATTGCTCTCTGGTGCACATGCGCAGCTTTGCCGCACATGCGCAGATACTTCATAGGGCGGCATTCATGTCTCGACTAGGAAGCACCTCTAGTGGCCATCTGAGTGTCCACTAGAGGTATTCCTCATCAATAATGTAAATACTGCCTTTTTACGAAATGGCTGTGCTTACATTAAAAAGCCTGCAAAGACATGCTATAGGCACCAGAACTACTACGTTTAGCTGTTGTGGTTCTGGTGACTATAGTGTCCCTTGAATATAGAGAGGAAAAAAGAATCATCACAAATGTAAGAAATAAAATGTGATTAGTGCCACGAATAATATGCTAGATTGCCTACTTACAACCAGATGAGGATGATGATGGGCTCTAGCTGTAGTCTGGCTCCACTGGTCTGGTGTAGAACAGGCTCTCTGGAGGCTGTTTGTAACTGTGGTCACAAAAATCAATGTTCTGGGAGAATGGGAAGCAGCTCCATTATTTGGGGGCCCTTTACACAGCTCAAGGTCTGGGTCCCAGGGTCCACCTTCATGTTCCACCAATGAGTTTGTTCACGGGGGTGGAGTGTGTAGGGGATGTCCTGATATGTGTGTAAGGAATGCATTGTGTGAATCTGTGTTTGTATGTGTAAGGGCTGCAAGGTGTGTTTCTGTGTATGTACGGGATGCAGTGTGTGCGTCTGTAAGGGGTGCATTGAGTGTATGTAAGGAATGCATTGTGTGTTTCTGTGTGTGTAAGGTTTGCATGATTGTGCGATTGTGTGTGTGTGTGTGATGGATGTCAATCTCTCTCCCGCCCTTGTCACTCTCTTTCTCCTCCTCCCTCCCTCCCTTGTCACTCTCTTTCTCCCCCTCCCTCCCTCCCTTGTCACTCTTTCTCCCTCTCCCTTGTCACTCTTTCTCCCCCTCCCTTGTCACTCTCTTTCTCCACCTCCCTTATCACTCTCTTTCTCCCCCTCCCTTTGTCACTCTCTTTCTCCCCCTCCCTCCCTCCGTTGTCACTCTCTTTCTCCCCCCCCTCCCTCCTCTTGTCACTCTTTCTCCCTCCCCCTCCCTCCCTTGTCACTCTCTTTCTCCCCCTCCCCTCCCTTGTCACTCTCTTTCTCCCCCCTCCCTTGTCACTCTCCTCCCTCTCCCCTCCCTTGTCACTCTCTTCTCCCCCTCCCTCCCTTGTCACTCGTTGCTGTGGCTGGAGCGGTGCTGGACTAACAGGAAGTGCAGACTCAGTGTGCACTTCCTGTTAGTCTGGACGGGTACAGGAGACAGATGCTCCCTGTACCCGCGGACTATACTGGGCTCGGCCACGCTACAGAGAGGGAGTGACAGGAGGGAGCGCTGAGCGCTTCCCTCCTGTCAGCCCCTCTCCTCAGGCTATGCCTGGGCGGTGCGGTCCGCCCTCATGGACGCACCGCCTGGGCAAAGCTGCAGCCGCCTGAGGCTCTCTACAGAGCGCTCGGGCGGCTGCAGCATGGGGGGACCGGCGGAGCTGGGGGGGATTTCCCCATAACCTGTCCCCCCCCGCATGATTTGCTGGGGGGATGCGTCCCCTTCTTTTCTGCCCTTCTTCACCCTTATTTCCACCTCCTTCTTTGTTTACCTATCTTCTTTTATGTTTTTTATTTTGTTGTTGTTTTATTTCTTTTCATATAACAAAAATTGTAGAGAAATGTAAAATAGCTTTTGTAATTCTAGTTTTTATTGTGATTTTCCGATGTACCCGGTCACATCTCTCAGACACACATTTAAAATGTTTTGAGTGCATGCAAATGTCACGAGTGGTTTTAGATAATAAAAAATAAATTATAACTCGTACAATATTGGTGCATGTGACGGTATCTGTGTGTAGAGATTGTGAATGTC